TTTTTCCCTCACTGATGCTGGATTTTGCTCTGTTTACTACTACTATTTGTGTTCTGTGTGTTAGGAACCCGAGAATCCATCTGCCTACGTTCCCCATAATGCCTATGGCCCTCATTTTGTGCGCTATCACTCCGTGATCGCATTTGTCAAATGCTATTGCAAAATCTGTGTATATCACATCTGCGTTTTGTCATCTTCCAACGCCTCCGTAATTATGTCATAGCGGTTCAGCAACTGTGACAGGCATGATCATCCTGCTCTCAAACCAAGCTGGTTTGGGTTATGCCAGTTGTGCTCTCCCATTTCATCACTCTATCGAAGATTTTTATGTGGGAAGTTAGGGCTACTGGTCCATAATTTTTAGCTAGTGCTCTACTACCTCCCTTATGCAACAGAGCAATGTCTGCACTCTTTAAGGTCTCTGGTATTTCACCTAGATCTAGGCTTTCTCCAAAGTATACTGAGGGCTCGTGCTAGTGGTACTTTGCACTTCTTCATAAACAGAGCATTCCATGAATCTGGTCCAGGTGCTGAGTGAGTGGGCATGTTATCCATTACTTTTCTGAAATCTATGGGATCTATACCAATATCAGTTAGCTGGTCCGTGCTGCCTTCTGCCGAAGTCAAAAATGTTTCTGCATTCTCTACCTTGCTGTCATTTAGTGGGTTGCTGAACACTGACTCATACTGTTCTTTTAGAATTTCACTCATTTCCTGTTCATCATAAGTATATGAGTCTCCTCTCAATAATGGTCCAATTCTACAGGTAGTTCTTACCTTGAATTTTGCATAGGAATATAAATATTTTGGGTTTCTTGCAATATCCTGTATGGCCTTTTGTTCCCTTTGTACTTCTTCTGTTAGGTATATCCTTAGTTTTTGCTCTAATTCAGCGATCTCTCGGCTAAGGCTCTCTTTCCTCTGTTGCAGCATATTTGTGTTTTTAAGCAATTCAGTAACCCATTTTCTTCTTCTGTACCATCTCCTAAGCTCTTTCTCTATACATAATCTTCTTTTGGGCTTCCTCAATGGTACGTGTTTAATACAGACTTTTTTTCTTTTTTTTTCAACAAGTCGGCCGTCTCCCACCGAGGCAGGGTGGCCCAAAAAGAAAGAAAATCCTCAAAAAGAATATACTTTCATCATCATTCAACACTTTCACCTCACTCACACATAATCACTGTTTTTGCAGAGGTGCTCAGAACACAACAGTTTAGAAGCATATACGTACGTATAAAGATACACAACATATCCCTCCAAACTGCTAATATCCCAAAACCCCTCCTTTAGATTGCAGGCATTGTACTTCCCATTTCCAGGACTCAAATCTGGCTATATAAAAATAACCGGTTTCCCTGAATCCCTTCAATAAATATTACCATGCTCACACCCCAACAGATCGTCAGGCCCCAAATACCATTCGTCTCCATTCACTCCTATCGAACACGCTCATGCACGCCTGCTGGAAGTCCAAGCCCCTCGCCCACAAAACCTCCCTTACCCCTTCCTTCCAACCTTTTCGAGGACGACCCCTACCCCGCCTTCCTTCTCCTACAGATTTAAATGCTCTCCATGTCATTCTACTCTGATCCATTCTCTCTAAATGACCAAACCACCTCAACAACCCCTTTGTATGGTTCTATATTCAGCTTCTCTAGGCACTGGTGGGGATTTAGGTCACTCATGTCTGATTCCCAGGATATGTCTGACAGTTCTTGGTTTATTTTTTCCCAGTCAATTCTATGATTGTTGAAATTAAACTTATTGAACATCCCTTCTCTTACATTATTGTTGTAGTTTCCTAACTCTGAGTTAATACTCATTTGTACTTCTGTGATGTTGTGGTCAGAGTATATTGCTTTTGTAACTGCTATATCTCTGATCAGTTCCTCTTTGTTTGTGAATATCAAATCCAGGGTATTTTCATTTCTAGTGGAATTAGTTACCTGTTGGTTCAATGAGTACTTTTCACACACCCTCAATAGTTCCCTGGTATGTGCCTGTTGACCCATGGTTCTTCCAGGAGGTATGTCTGGTATAACGTTGCTTTGAGACATCTTCCATTTTACATGCAGGAGATTAAAATTTCCAAGGAGTATAATATTTGGTGTGGGATTTTCTAGCCTATCCAGACAGTTATCTGTCATCCTTAACTGATCTGAATTTCTCAGCAGTTGCTGGTGGTGGTTTATATACCAGGATAATTGCCAAACTCCTATTTTTAACTTTAATGACTAGAGCATTTTGAGGAAACTTAAGCCTAACTTAAGACTAGAATATCTCTAGTTGTACAAAAGGTTAATCCTTTCGGATCAAAACAGCAGGCAGCCTCCATCATATGTGCACCATCTAAAGGTACATCTTTTCTAAAATTTCCACTTTGTTTAGTACTGTCATAGATCCACATTTATATTTGTTCTTGACACCTCAAGCATCACTAGTACTGTATTCCTGTTGGGCACCATAGTTAAGGTTAAGGGAATAGATAGAGTGATTGAAATATTAAAAATTGCCTGATAAACACAAACTGCAGAAGGCAGGTGACACTCCCAGAAAAGCATGTGTAGGTGGTGGGGGTGAAAGCAGGAAAGAGCAGTACCTCCCCAGACACTCAGCCCATAGGCTTATGAATAAACAAAAGGGTGGATGAGGGGCTCGAACTGTGGTCCACAAATTGCCAGTCCGACACTCTACCGTCTCAACTATTACAACTTAATTCGAATCTGCAGATGATGTGGCCTTGAGAGATGGTGTAAGAATATAACTACAGCCTCTCCTCACTTAATGATGAAGTTCCATTCCTAAGACCACATTGGTAAATGAATTCATCACTAAGTGAAGAGCATACTATAATGGTAGTGGGTTTGCATCAACCATCTTTGATATTGTTTTAATGTCACCTTTGCAACATTTACGTATAACATTCCTGGTATATTTTTAAATGTTTATACAACAGTGTACAGTGGACCCCCGGTTTACGATCAGCTCTCAATGCGACCAATTATGTAAGTGTATTTATGTAAGTGCGTTTGTACGTGTATGTTTGGGGGTCTGAAATGGACTAATCTAATTCACAATATTCCTTATGGGAACAAATTCGTTCAGTAATGGCACCTGAACATACTTCTGGAATGAAATAATATCGTAAACTGGAGGTCCACTGTACTGTGTATTGTAATAAACAGAATAGAGGAAATTAGCTCTAATATACATTATTTAGGTATGCATACTGGTCAGAGCCCATTGTAAGTCTGAGTCGTCGGTAAACGAGTACATGTATGTTGCCAAGTGAGGAGAGGCTGTACTGCTAAAGCTAATGGGTCAAGGGAAGGAGTTCAGCTGGTTTACAGTTGGTGCCTCTGATGGAATATAATACAGTAAGTATTAATTCCAATTTCTTCCTATTAGAGGCCTGGGTAGTCAAGACGGTAGAGAGTTGGACTGTCAATTTGCCAACCACAGTTCGAACCCTTTGTCCACCCTTCTGCTTATTCACTAACATTTGTTCATTACAACTTAATTTGAGCCCTTAGGCCTATCTTATACTGGAAAGAAAAACTCCATGGAGCTCAGTACCCAGATTTTGCGTGTAACCTGATGCTGTGCAAACCTATGACAGCAGGTTTGCACAGCTTCAGATTACTAATTATTTCAGTCACTACACTGTGCAATATCAAGATTTTTGTTGCTATCCAATTTTTTGTACTTTTTCAATCAAACTGTAATAAAATCAAACTATGTGAAGTCACATTACAAGAGGGTTAACTGAATATATATTTTGTCATTTATTTTTTGACATCCTTACTCTGAGGTACCACCCTACTGCTAGATGTGTCCTGCTTATTCTTTTATTTGTTTAGAGACACTTAACTGTGCATACATACATGCAAACATACATAAATACATGCATACATAATCACAGAATATGTTTATGATTTCATGAGTTATGACTGATACATGCATGCATACATACATACATACATACATACATACATACATACATACATACATACATATAGTGTTTTACAAGGGACAAGATGAATATCAAAATGGTATACAATACCGACAAGTTGGTAAGTAAGACACATAGGCAACATTTAGGCATCTTTATTCTAAAACTTTTCACCTACACAGTAGGGTTCTTCAGTTGAGTACAGAAAGTACTTACTTTCTATACTCAACTGAAGAAGCCTATTGTGTAGGCAAAACACTCTGGAATAAAGATGCCTAAATGTTGCCTATGTATCTTACTTACCAACTTGTTGGTATTGTATACCATTTTGATATTCACTCTGTCAGACGCTACAACACAATGGCATCTTGGTACAGAAGAAAACACCTTGGACAACTTTTTCAAGAGAGAATGGTTGGATCTGAGAGGGATGTGACTTCTCAGTGATTACATTCTTTCTTCTACTACTCTACACCTCTCCTGCAGACAGTACATAAGTCTCCACACTGTCGCTTGTTCTTCACACTGTTTCAGACTATGAAACTGAATTCTTCTCCAGGCTGAGGGACTGACAACCTCAAATCTACATCTTCAAGGGTGATGGACTGATTACATCATCTTCACATCTCCACTTCTCCTGCCTACTTTCTGTACTCAACTGAAAAAGCCTGCTGTGTAGGCGAAACGTTTCGGAATAAAGATGCCTAAATGTTGCATATGTGTCTTACTTACCAAGGGACAAGATGGAGATTTGTCACTGCCTGCTGGTGTAGTTAGAGTTGCTCCATGAAAATGTATCTGGGTTACAGTGAGTGCTCCGCTCAAGAATTCATATGACTGTTAGTAAGTACAGTTGGCAGAAAACCAGACTGGCACATATATAGGTTTATTTAACTTACCCTGCCTTAAATATGTACAGTAACTAAAATTTAATTATTGCACAATAAGAAAATGCTAAGGTATTTACACTGTGCAAAACCTTAGAAAACAGGATAAAACTAAAATGAGTTGAATCAGGATATAATTGATATTATTTAGAAAATCTTACCTCACCAAAAGGAGTATAAAACTGGACAACATTGCAATCCTTCTCACTAGCACCAGAGAGATGAAGAGTGCCAGCCACAGCCATCACACTTCCATTATGATTCCACTGGCTGGCACACACACTCATGCCAGTATCTATTAACACAGGCACTGTTGATATATGGTACTTATTACTATAAAGTTTTAAACAGAAAGAAGTGTACATCATTTTTCTCAACAAACAACAACAAGTACTACTACTACTACAAATTATTATTATTATTATTATTATTATTATTATTATTTTTATTATTAACACGCTGGCCGATTCCCACCAAGGCAGGGTGGCCCGAAAAAGAAAAACTTTCACCATCATTCACTCCATCACTGTCTTGCCAGAAGGGTGCTTTACACTACAGTTTTTAAACTGCAACATTAACACCCCTCCTTCAGAGTGCAGGCACTGTACTTCCCGTCTCCAGGACTCAAGTCCAGCCTGCCGGTTTCCCTGAATCCCTTCATAAATGTTACTTTGCTCACACTCCAACAGCACGTCAAGTATTAAAAACCATTTGTCTCCATTCAATAATAATAATAATCTTCATCTTCATCTTCATCTTCATCTTCTTCTTCTTCTTCTTCTTCTTCTTCTTCTTCTTCTACTTCTTCTTCTTCTTTAACACACTAGCTGTTTTTCCACAAAGGTAGGATGATCCAAAAAAAAGAGGAAACACATTCAATATCATTCATTCAACTGCTGTCTTGCAAGAAGCTGACTTCTAAGTTCAAAAGGCCCTCCAAACTGCAGCATTCCCACCCCTCCTTTAGAGTGCAGGCACTGTACTTCCCACCTCCAGGACCCAAGCCCAGCTAACCAGTTTTCCCTGAATTCCTTCATAAATGTTACTTTGCTCACACTCCAACAGTACATCAAGTTATAAAAAACACTTATCTCCACCCAATCTGATTCAATGCACTCACGCAAGCCTGTGTGATGTTCAAACTCCTAGCACTCACACCTCCATTACCCCTTCCCAACCCTTCCTGGGACCACCTCTACCCTTCCTTCCTTCCTTCCACTCCAGATTTATATATACCCTCTTATTTTATTTATTTATTTATTTATTTATTTAATAATTTGAACATATATACAGAGGTACAAAAAAATACAGGCAAGAGCAGCATGCCAAAGCCACTTGTATGCATAGCATTACGGGCTGGCTTAAAATTAACTTAAGATTAACTAAGCAATGATGTAATCAGTGATAAAACATTATTGTAAACAGATAACAATAAAGCACAAATGAGTATTACAAAGACAGGTCATATGGTTGCATGCATTGCTGTACATTCAGTAGAATGGAGTATTCTGTTAGGTAGTGTATTTAAAAAATAACAAAGTTAGATTGGGTCTTAGGTTTAACATTTTTTTTTTTTTTTTTATTGTCCACTGGCCTTTTCCCACCAAAGGGCGGGGGGTGCCCGAAAAAGAAAAACTTTCACCTTTCATTCACCCCATCACGTCTTGCCAGAAGGGTGTTTTACACTACAGTTTTTAAACTGCAACATTAACACCCTCCTTCAGGTGCAGGCACTTTTTCCCCATCTCCGGGACCAGTCCGGCCTCCCGGGTTTCCCTGAACCCCTTCATAATTTTACTTTGCTCACACTCCAAGACGTCAAGTATTAAAAACCATTTGGTCTCCATTCACTCCTATCAAACACGCTCATGCTACCTGCTGGAAGTCCAAGCCCCTCGCACACAAAACCTCCTTTACCCCCTCTCTCCAACCTTTCCTAGGCCGACCCCTACCCCGCCTTCCTTCCACTACAGACTGATACACTCTTGAAGTCATTCTGTTTTGCTCCATTCTCTCTACATGTCCGAACCACCTCAACAACCCTTCCTCAGCCCTCTGGACAACAGTTTTGGTAATCCCGCACCTCCTCCTAACTTCCAAACTACGAATTCTCTGCATTATATTCACACCACACATTGCCCTCAGACATGACATCTCCACTGCCTCCAGCCTTCTCCTCGCTGCAACATTCATCACCCATGCTTCACACCCATATAAGAGCGTTGGTAAAACTATACTCTCATACATTCCCCTCTTTGCCTCCAAGGACAAAGTTCTTTGTCCTCCACAGACTCCTAAGTGCACCACTCACTCTTTTTCCCTCATCAATTCTATGATTCACCTCATCTTTCATAGACCCATCCGCTGACACGTCCACTCCCAAATATCTGAATACATTCACCTCCTCCATACTCTCTCCCTCCAATCTGATATTCAATCTTTCATCACCTAATCTTTGTGTTATCCTCATAACCTTACTCTTTCCTGTATTCACCTTTAATTTTCTTCTTTTGCACACCCTACCAAATTCATCCACCAATCTCTGCAACTTCTCTTCAGAATCTCCCAAGAGCACAGTGTCATCAGCAAAGAGCAGCTGTGACAACATTTATGTGATATAATTGTGAGAAACATTTAAGTTATACAATTTATAAGGTTCAGTTATTCAGTATTTATTTGGTTTTGGGTGAGTAAGTGATCCTATTTTGTTCCATCCTCTCTAAATGCCCAAACAATCTTAACAACCCATTCTCAGCCCTTAGAATTATAATTCTGGTAAGCCATACCCCGGTCGGGATTGAACCCGCGGTCAGAGAGTCTCAAAACTCCAGCCCGTCGCGTTAGCCACTAGACCAGCTAGCCACTGGAGTTTTGAGACTCTCTGACCGCGGGTTCAATCCCGGCCGGGGTATGGTTTGTTTGGAATCGTGTCATTACGATTTCGTGAGTCATAATTCTGGTAACTCCACACCTTCTAATCTCCAAACTCTGAATTCTCTGCATTTCATCCACATCACACATTGCCCTCAAACACAACATTTCCACTGCCTTCAGCCTCCTCCTTGCTGCAATGCCCAAAACCCAAGTTTCACACCCATATAACAGTGTTGGTACCAATAAACATCCCCTTATCTGCCTCCATGGATAAGGTCATCTCCACAGCTGTGTATATAGTATATGGGAGCACAGTAAGGTGATGTAAGTAGTGTGTATGTCATCACAATAGTGTGAGGCACCTCACTGTGCTCTCTCTATATAGACTCATCCTACTTATCTAGGTTTTATTTGTTTGTGACTTAACAAAGCCCACTGTCTGGTCAAAACATCATCAATAAAGGATCACGTTATAATGCATTTCTCTCTCTTACCCCAATACAAGCAAAAAAAAAATCCATAAAATTAGAAATTTTTTTTAAAATAGTTCTTAAGGAACACAGTGCACAAGAATAAGTAGCACCCACATAATGTCAATACATGTGCAATTAAGTTTATCATGAATCTGACCAGGAATTCTTACTACAGTGGACCCTCGGTTTTCATGATTAATCCATTCCAGGGAGTCTGACGAAACCCGAAAATCACGAAAACCAAAGTAATTTTTCCATGTAAGAAATAATGTAAATCCAATTAATTCATTTCAGATATCCAATAGTATTAACAAAAAATACATTTTATAGAGAATAATTATAGTTTTACATACAGAAAACAATGAGAAATAAATATAAAGTACAAATGAAATAGATAAATGAACATTTAAATCACTTTTACCTTTATTGAAGTCTTTTTGGCGCATGGAAAATGGCGAGGAGCGGAGAGGGAGGCGAGTTTATTGTTTGTTAACAGAACAAAATGCTTAAATATGATGCTAATATCAACTCTATGGCTTATTTATCTATCACAATTCATCTAATATGACATAAACAATATTAATAACATAGAAACATGATATATACTCTAGAATGAATAAAATATGTCATTATGTATGTGAGGAGTGGTGGTGGAGCTGTTGTTGTTGGGTTTATCAGGGCCACTGACAGCATAAGCCGCACATATAGCGGTGGTGGTGGCAGCAGCAGAGGCCACCACCACTATTCACACTGAAACAATGTACGTAATTTATAAATAAGAAATATTTACACATTAATTTATAAGAAATATTTACACATTAATTTATAAATAAGAAAGATTTACACATTATAAATAAGAAATCCTAGGTAGTAGGTTGGTAGATAGCAACCACCCAAGGAGGTACTACCATTCTGTCAAGTGAGTGTAAAACAGAAGCCTGTACAGCAGTACCTTGATTTACGAGGGCCCCAACTTAGGAGTTTTATGAGCTACGAGCCGTCGCTCGATCAATTTTTTGCTTTGAGTTGCGAACCAAAATCCGAGTTACAAGCGAACTTCGGATATGCCGCCACTCGCAGGAGAGAGGAAATGTCAAAAACCTCAGTAATATGCAAAATTCTTTCAATTTTGATACCACTGGTAGTGTCATCCTGCCAAAATGTTCTATAACATATGCCCTAAGTAAAGAGAAACAATTCTGGAACGTGCAATACATGGGCGGCAGGCTGGCTGATTTGCTTTGGCTGTCTCTATCTCCTTCTGTCTGTCTGTATCTATCTCTGTCTCTGTCTATCTGTGTCTCTATCTCTGTCTGTCTATCTCTATCTCTGTCTCTATCTCTGTCTCTGTCTCTATCTCTATCTCTTTCTATCTCAGTCTCTGTCTATCTCCATCAATCTCTGTCTATCTCTGTCTCTATCTCACAGGTATGTAAAGTAAAAGGACACAAGTGCAACTAATGTGACATTTAATTGTGGCAACGTTTCGCTCTCCAGGAGCTTTATCAAGCCATTACAAACAATACATGGACACAGAGGGTATATAAAGGCTCAGAGTGAGGTGCAATACTAATGAGGTACCATTTCGATGTTCACTAGTGGTAGTAGTAGTAGTAGTAGTGACAAAAGTAACACAATATGGTAGAGCAATTAATTCGTACATGAGTAAAAGGATATAAAAGCTATTACTTTGGTAACATAAAAATAGGTTGGACAAATATAGACTGGAAAGAGGCAGCTTGTTTCAGTGTTCACTCTCTGTAATGTGCTTTGTGTAGTATAACAGGAGAGACTATGTGATGGCAGGGTTTACTGTTTTCAGGAGGATTCTTGCTAAGACTTCGGAGATGGTGAAGCTGCCGTTGTTTTGTCTAATTGTATTCGAAACAGCGATCAGTGCTGATTCGAGGCACTTGCGTCTGCGGAAATTAGTTTCTTTGATCACTAATTGGGCGTCTCTGAAATTTTATGAGATGATTGGTGGAATTTCGGTGTTGTACACAGGCGTTGTTCAAGTTATCGTTCCTACATGCGTAAATGTGTTCATTGAGGCGGGTGTCGAGGTTTCTTGCTGTTTCACCTACGTAAATCTTGTCACAGCCTCCACAGGGTATAGTGTAAACTCCTGCATTGACTGGTTCATGGTGCTTGGATTTTGTCCTGGTTAGATCCTTTATTGAAGTGCTAGAAGCGATGGCGACTCTGGTGTTAGCTTGTGAAAGTACTTTTGAGACGTTCAGTGCAACCTGGCTGTTGGGAAGAATTATAACTTTGTTGGGAGTGGTGTTGATGCGTGGAGAATTAATGATCTGAAGAGCTCTTTTCTTGCAGTCTTTGATGAAAAAGGAAGGAAAATGTAACTCAGTGAATGTTTGGTGAATGTATGTACATTCCTCGTCAAGAAACTCAGGACTACAAATTCGGTATGCTCTTAGGAAAAACCCGATGATGATGCCTCTTTTGGTCTGGATCGCCGGTTCAACTGCGTTGAGCCTTGCCTGAAGATTCCGTACATCAAAACGTTTGGGAGTTATTACGAGGGCGTCGTCCACGTAACGTAACCAAGTGATGCTTGAAGGGATGATGTTGGCGAAGTGTTCGGACTCTAGGTGTTCCATGTATAAGTTGGCTAGGACGTCACTGATGGGGGACCCCATTCCCATGCCGTAGGTTTGTTTGTAGAGCTTGTTATTGAAAGAAAAACAGTTGAAATTAACACAAGAGTTCAATCAAGTCAACAAAATCTCCGGGAAGTAGAGGAAGATTAAGGTCCTGATTGACTTTACGTCGTAGAACCTCGATGGCTTTTTTGGTAGGTACTTTTGTGAAGAGGGAAGTCACATCCAAACTGCTTAGTTTCTTGTTACGGATGGAGAGGTTACGGATGCTGCCTCTTTCCAGTCTACATTTGTCCAACCTATTTTTATGTTACCCAAATAATAGCTTTTATATCCTTTTACTCATGTATGAATTAATTGCTCTACCATATTGTATTACTTTTGTCACTACTACTACTACTACCACTAGTGAACATCGAAATGGTACCTCACTAGTATTGCACCTCACTCTGAGCCTTTATATACCCTCTGTGTCCATGTATTGTTTGTAATGGCTTGATAAAGCTCCTGGAGAGCGAAACGTTGCCACAATTAAATGTCACATTAGTTGCACTTGTGTCCTTTTACTTTACATATTGTCGGTAATTCTACCAACTTTATTACAATCTCACAGGTACACATAAATACAGTTATACATAGTGTAAATTACCTAGGATAACCCACAAAATCCAGACAAAGTGTAATACAGTACTATGCTAGTAGATGTAAGGCATAATGAGCATGACTGGCAAGTAATACACATTTTCACTTGTTCAGGAATCAGATGTGATGACTCTGCATTGTGTGTAATACCTGCTGGTTCATGAGTGCCTCTCTCTCTGAGACAGAGACAAGAAGAGAGACAGGGAGACAGAAACACAGGCAGACAAAAAGACAGATAAGCAGAGACAGAGATAAACATAGAGCTGGACAGACAAATAGACAAAAAAACAAACAGATAGACAGACATGCTTATTTGTAACAGGGAAAAATATATCCATGGCAGTGCATGATCATCAAATGTCACTCCACGAGTGACACTCCACTGGCAGTGGAGTGACAGATAGAAACAAACAGATAGACAGACATGTTTATGTGTAACAGTGACAAAGCCAAGGCAGTGCACAATGAGTGTCACTCCACCGGCAATGGAGTGACGCTCATCTTACACGGTGCTTCAAGGGGTTTCATATATACTCCAGCATATCTGAAACATTGCTGGGACCTGGCAAAAAAGGCAAAAATCATTTCTTATTTATAAATACATTTTTCTTATTTAAAAACCCATAACAAAAAAATTGGAGTGGTTTTTTGGGGGCTGGAACGGATTAATGGAATTTCAATTACTTTCAGTGAGAAAAATTTATTTGATATATGAGCAAATTGAGTTACGAGCTGGGTCACAGAGTGAATTAAACTCGTAAGTCAAGGTACCACTGTACTTGTTTTACATGCTCGTAGGATTGTTAGTGTCTTTTCTCTGTCTCATAAACACACAAGATTTCAGGCACATCTTGCTACTTCTACTTACACTTAGGTCACACTACACATACATGTACAAGCATATATATATACACTCCTCTGGGTTTCCTTCTATTTTCTTACTAGTTCTTATTTTTGTTTATTTCCTCTTATCTTCATGGGGAAGTGGAACAGAACTCTTCCTCCGCAAGCCATACGTGTTGTAAGAGGCGACTAAAATGCCGGGAGCAAGGGGCTAGCAACCTCTTCTGTATAAATTACTAAATTTAAAAAGAGGAAATTTCATTTTTCTTTTTGGGCCACCCTGCCTCGGTGGGATATGGCTGGTTAGTTGAAAGAAAGAAAGAAGAAATATTTACACTTACCTTGGAGGAGATGCCAGCATTAGTTTAGGGTGGTGGAAGATACAAAGGCAGAGTATGTTGTCAAGTGGCCCTATATACTTCCAACAACATTGGAGGAGTTAGTTTCGTGTCCTTTTTCTATCACTTAATCACTTAACTTACTTGCTACACTGTTAATGCTACACTTTATCACTGGCTGGCGCTATAGCCTTTATCATCTCCTGCTGCTTTAGCATCATACATATCGTAGAATCACTGAAGAAGGCACATTCTCTCCTCTCTCTTCCTCCTCCACTTTCGTATGTTGTTACGAGTTCTTTCTTGAATTCTATCGTGTTTCTCACCTTCTTTACCATAGGGCTGGCACTAGGAGCTTCCTTTGGGCCCATGGTGGCTTATTTAGCAGTTACACACAATAAACAAGAGCAAAAACAATGGATGATTACGAAATGTTTCGTATGACCTCTCAGGGTTATGTTCACTCGCCGAGAAACAATGCAAGACTTAGAATGCGAGTGGGAGGCTTTGTGCATGCACAACCACTCAGATGTGTTCCGTACAACCAACGAAAACAATCCTATATTTTTACGAAAAAAGCCGGGGATAACTGAAAATCACAAAAACAGAGCCTAACGAAAATGGAGGATCCACTGTACATCATCTTTGAAACAGCACCGAAAATATGGAAATAAAAAACAAACACTGCACAGGTATTGGGTATTCTCATTATAGTGAAGCTAACGAAACAAGCAAACTGGAGAATCTATGCTCATGTTGCTAATAATAATAGTAAATTTGCAAGCACATTCTGATAAAGAAATCTGTTATCTTTAAATGATTACCGGTTAGCTGGACTTGAGTCCTGGAGGTGGAAAGTACAATGCTTATGCTTTCAAGGAGGGGTTTGAATATTTGCTGTTTGGAGGGACATCTTAACTGTCGTATATGTGCGCCTCTGGCAAGACAGTGGTAGTGTGAATGATGATGATGAAAGCATTTCTTTTTTCGGGTCACCCTGCCTCAGTGGAAGACAGCTAGCATATTAAAAAAAAAGTCTTAAAGTTTCTTACCATGCTTCTAAAATTGTAAAGTTCAGTACTGAGCTTTAGTGTAATGAGTTTATGCAACTATAAAACACTAAAGTCACTTACTGTCATCACTCTCATTACGCATTATCTGCATTCTTCCATTATCATAACATATGGCTAGTGTGGGACAGTCTGGTTCAAAATAGCCATTACGTCCATTGTACCACGATAGCCCAACAACGATAGCTCCTAATCCCATGCTGCCTAAACACTGGATGTTTAGCCTGCTCTGAAATACAAAAAAAAATTTATTACAGTATGAGGTCTAGTCATGGACCAGTCTGAGGGGGCGTTGACCCCAGCAACACCCTCCAGGTATACTCCAGGTACCTACAGTCCCATTTTTCAAAACTTATTTAAAAATCCTTGGTAATATTACACTCTTAAATTTTTCTCATTCTAACAGTTAATTAAAAATATTATATGATCTTTTCTTTAGAAATATTAAACCACAACAATCAGAGGAAGTCCTGAAAATAAGAGAGCATTTAACAAGCGATATTTGACGTTCTTCTAGGTAGTAGGTTGGTAGACAACCACCCAGGAGGTACTACCATCCTGTGGTAGTAGTTGGTAGACAACAATCACCCAGGGAGGTACTACCATCCTGTGGTAGTAAGTTGGTAGACAACAACCACCCAGAGAGGTACTACCATCCTGTGGTAGTAAGCTGGTAGACAACAACCACCCAGGGAGGTACTACTGTCCTGTGGTAGTAAGTTGGTAGACAACAACCACCCAGGGAGGTACTACCATCCTGTGGTAGTAAGTTGGAAGACAACAACCACCCAGGAAGGTACTACCGTCCTGTGGTAGTAAGTTGGTAGACAACAACCACCCAGGGAGGTACTACCATCCTGTGGTAGTAAGTTGATAGACAGCAACCACCCAGGGAGGTACTACCGTCCTGTGGTAGTAAGTTGGCAGACAACAACCACCCAGGAAGGTACTACTGTCCTGCTAAGTGAGTGTAAAACAAAAGCCTGTAATTGTTTTACATGATGGGAGGATTGCTGGTATCCATTTTTCTGTCTCATGAACATGCAAGGTTTCAGGTACGTCTTGCTACTTCTACTTGCACTTAGGTCACACTACTCATACATGTACAAGTATATATATACACACCCCTCTGGGTTTTCTTCTATTTTCTTACTAGTTCTTGTTTATTTCCTCTTATCTCCATGGGGAAGTGGAACAGAATTCTTCCTCCGTAAGCTATGTGTGTTGTAAGAGGCGACTAAAATGCCAGGAGCAAGGGGCTAGTAACCCCTTCTCCTGTATAAATTACTAAATTTAAAAAGAGAGACTTTCATTTTTCTTTTTGGGCCACCCTGCCTCGGTGGGATACGGCCGGTTTGTTGAAAGAAAGAAAGAATTTGACATTCTCTAGGTATTAAATTGGTAGACAGTAACCACCCAGGGAAGTACTACTGTCCTGCCAAGTGAGTGAAAAATGGAAGATTGTAATTGTTTTACATGATGGTAGGATTGTTGGTGTCTTTTTTCTGTCTCATAAACATGCAAGATTTTAGGTATGTCTTGTTACTTCTACTTACACTTAGGTCACACTACAGATGCATGTACAAGCATATATATAATAATATAATATATATATATTATATATATATATATATATATATATATATATAATATATATATATATATACGTGAGGCATTACGTAAAATGAAAGGGGGTAAAGCAGCTGGAACTGATGGGATCATGACAAAATGTTAAAAGCAGGGGGGATATAGTGTTGGAGTGGTTGGTACTTTTGTTTAATAAATGTATGAAAGAGGGGAAGGTACCTAGGGATTGGCAGAGAGCATGTATAGTCCCTTTATATAAAGGGAAAGGGGACAAAAGAGACTGTAAAATTATAGAGGAATAAGCTTACTGAGTATACCAGAAAGTGTACGGTAGGGTTATAATTGAAAGAATTGAGGTAAGACAGAATGTAGGATTGCGGATGAGCAAGGAGGTTTCAGAGTGGGTAGGGGATGTGTAGATCAAGTGTTTACATTGAAGCATATATGTGAACAGTATTTAGATAAAGGTAGGGAAGTTTTTATTGCATTTATGGATTTAGAAAAGGCATATGATAGAGTGGATAGAGGAGCAATGTGGCAGATGTTGCAAGTAATGGAATAGGTGGTAAGTTATTAAATGCTGTAAAGAGTTTTTATGAGGATAGTGAGGCTCAGGTTAGGGTGTGTAGAAGAGAGGGAGACTACTTCCCGGTAAAAGTAGGTCTTAGACAGGGATGTGTAATGTCACCATGGTTGTTTAATATATTATAGATGGGGTTTGTAAAGGAAGTAAATGCTAGGGTGTTCGGGAGAGGGGTGGGATTAAATTTTGGGGAATCAAATTCAAAATGGGAATTGACACATTTACTTTTTGCTGATGATACTGTGCTTATGGGAGATTCTAAAGAAAAATTGCAAAGGTTAGTGGATGAGTTTGGGAATGTGTGTAAAGGTAGAAAGTTGAAAGTGAACATAGAAAAGAGTAAGGTGATGAGGGTGTCAAATGATTTAGATAAAGAAAAATTGGATATCAAATTGGGAATGAGGAGTATGGAAGAAGTGAATGTTTTCAGATACTTGGGAGTTGATGTGTCGGCGGATGGATTTATGAAGGATGAGGTTAATCATAGAATTGATGAGGGAAAAAAGGTGAGTGGTGCATTGAGGTATATGTGGAGTCAAAAAACGTTATCTATGGAGGCAAAGAAGGGAATGTATGAAAGTATAGTAGTACCAACACTCTTATATGGGTGTGAAGCTTGGGTGGTAAATGCAGCAGCGAGGAGACGGTTGGAGGCAGTGGAGATGTCCTGTTTTAAGGGCAATGTGTGGTGTAAATATTATGCAGAAAATTCGGAGTGTGGAAATTAGGAGAAGGTGTGGAGTTAAAAAAGTATTAGTCAGAGGCAGAAGAGGGGTTGTTGAGGTGGTTTGGCCATTTAGAGAGAATGGATCAAAGTAGAATGACATGGAAAGCTATAAATCTATAGGGAAGGAAGGCGGGGTAGGGGTCGTCCTCGAAAGGGTTGGAGAGAGGGGGTAAAGGAGGTTTTGTGGGCAAGGAGCTTGGACTTCCAGCAAGCGTGCGTGAGCGTGTTAGATAGGAGTGAATGGAGACGAATGGTACTTGGGACTGACGATCTGTTGGAGTGTGAGCAGGGTAATATTTAGTGAAGGGATTCAGGGAAACCGGTTATTTTCATATAGTCGGACTTGAGTCCTGGAAATGGGAAGTACAATGCCTGCACTTTAAAGGAGGGGTTTGGGATATTGGCAGTGTGGAGGGATATGTTGTGTATCTTTATATGTGTATGCTTCTAGACTGTTGTATTCTGAGCACCTCTGCAAAAACAGTGATAATGTGCGAGTGTGGTGAAAGTGTTGAATGATGATGAAAGTATTTTCTTTTTGGGGATTTTCTTTCTTTTTTGGGTCACCTTGCCTCGGTGGGAGACGGCCGACTTGTTGAAAAAAAAAAAAAAAAAAAAAAATATATATATATATATAGACACCCCTCTGGGTTTTCTTCTATTTTCTTACTAGTTCTTGTTCTTATTTCCTCTTATCTCCATGGGAAAGTGAAACAGAATTCTTCCTCCATAAGGTATGCGTGTTGCAAGAGTCGACTAAAATGCCGGGAGCAAGGGGCTAGTAACGTCTTCTCCTGTATACATTACTAAAGTTAAAAAGATAAACTTTTGTTTTTCTTTTTTGTGCCACCCTGCCTTGGTGGGAAACGGCTGATTTGTTGAAAGAAGAGAAAGTAACATGCAAGATTTCAGATATGTCCTGCTACTTCTACTTACACTTAGGTTATGCTACACATACATGTACAAGTACATATATACATACCCCTCTGGGTTTTCTTCTATTTTCTTACTAGTTCTTGTTCTTGTTTATTTCCTCTTATCTCCATGGGAATCTGGAACAGAATTCTTCCTCCGTAAGTGGCTAATATGCCGGGAGCAAGGGGCTAGAACCCCTTCTCCCGTATACATTACTAAAGTTAAAAAGAGAAACTTTCATTTTTCTTTTTGGGCCACCCTGCCTCAGTGGGATACAGCCAGTTTGTTGAAAGAAAGCAAGATTTAGTGTTCTGAGAAGCATTTACAAATTTACATAAAAAACTTGCGAGAGACTAATTTTACAGTCCAAATAATAAAATACTTACAACAAAACCTCCAGTATTGTCATAGACATGAACTTCCCCATTAACAAGTGAGAAGAGGAGTAGACAAGAGTCAGGTGACCATTCAACACCCATCAGATGTTGACCCTTCAGCTCTTTTCCCCATATTCGGTTCCCATCCACACTTCCTACAATTACTGCACCTGCACATAGAAGATACACATAAAATGTATGAAGCTAAGTATGTACAGTAATAAATTACAGAATGTCCTCAATGAAGTATAAACTAAGTATTCTTATTCTCAAGTACTATATATATGTGTTTCATTGTATAGTAATTATAATTTAGTTTTAAGGCTGCCCAAAATGATTTACATAACAAAAAACTTTCTATACAGTAGTTTATACATACCCATTACTATAATATATACATACCCATTACTATAATATATACATACCCATTACTATAATATATACATACCCATTACTATAATATATACATACCCATTACTATAATATGTACATACCCATTACTATAATATATACTATGCCACTTTATAGAAATAAAGTTGTTTGTTTGTTTAAATGTGGTGCTTAATCTTTTCTGCCATGCAATCTTTCATATGGATATTTTTTATTAACACATCGGCCATTTCCCAACAGGCAGGGTGACCCAAAAAGGGAAAAAACACTTTCATTATGACTTACTCCATCACTGTCTTGCCAGAGATGCACCTATACTACAGTTCAAAAACTGCAACATATCCCCACCCCTCTTTCAGAGTGCAAGCACTGTACTTCTCACCTCCAGGACTCAAGTCCAGCTGGTTTCCCCAAGTCCCTTCAGGGGAAATCATTACGTCAAGTCATAAAAACCATTTGCCTCCACTTGCCCCTATCTAATATGATCATGCACATTTACTGGAAGTCCAAGCCCCTTGCACATAAAAACCTCCTTTACCCCCTTCCTTCAACCTTTCCTAGAATGACCCTTACCCTGCCTTAATTCCACTACAGATTTATAAGCCTTCCAAGTCATTCTATTTCATTCTCTCCTTTCTAACTGTCTGAATCACCTCATACATTGACAAAAAAAATTCTGGGAGGGAAAAGATCTCCCAGTACAGTGCCTGCAGATGGAAGGGGCATCTGAGATGTAAAATCAGTGCACCTTTGGAATGATGGTGATCCAGTGAGCGATGGTGAAAGTGTCTCTTCTTTATTAAGGTCACTCAACCTCAGCGGGAAATGGCCAGCATGTTAAAAAATATTAAAAGACATAGTAAAAGCTATTACAAACCATCCTCATATACAATACAAATCTTCTGGCCATCTGTGTTCCATGCCATGCCTCGCACCACAGACTTGTTGCGATTGTTAATCATCTCCTCATACCATGAACCCTGAAATAATATCACCGTCAGGTATGTTACCACCAAATATTTAATATTAACTTGTTAATCCACCTGAATGACAATAGTAATAATAATAGTAAGTGTTTATGCACCTGGAGAAGAGAGAAGTGTAGAGGAGAGAGAGATCTTGGGAAATGTTGAGTGAGTGCATGGGAGCTTTGAACCAAATGAGAGAGTACTTGTGGTTGGGGATCTCGATGCTAAAGTGGGCAAAAATGTTGTGGAGGAAGTAGTAGGTAAATTTGGGGTGTCAGGGGTAAATGAAAATGGGGAGCCTTTAATTGAGCTAGGTGTAGAAAGAAGTTTGGTAATAAGTAATACATATTTTATGAAAAAGAGGATAAGTATACAGGGTATGATATAGCATGTAATGAAAGCAGTTTGTTACATTATGTATTGGTGGATAAAAGGTTGATGGGTAGGCTTCAGGATGTACATGTTTATAGAGGGGCAACAAATACACCTACCATCCGACTTACGACCTGCTCGACTTATGACCATGTTATTTATGCCAAATGTCTGGGAAATAAACAACTATTTGTGTTGTACACAGTGTTTATCCTAAACCTTACAGTATAAAATCCAGTACTAACAGCATAAAAAGTAAAGTAAAACATGAAATACCAAAATAAAATAATAAAATAAAGTCATTACAAAAATGTGATGTTGATATTCAGTAGTAAAGTTCGACTTACGTCCATTTCGACTTACGACCGGTTTCTTGGAACCGAACTCGGTCGTAAGTCGGGTGGTAGGTGTATATCGGATCATTATTTAGTTGTAGCTACAGTTAGAGTAAGAGGTACATGGGACATAAGGAAAATGGCAACAGCATGTAAGAGAGAATTGAAAGTGTATAACCTAAGGGAGGAGGAAGTTAGGCTGAGATATAAGCAACTAGTGGCAGAAAGGTGGGCTAATGCAAGTGTGAGTAGTGGGGGGTTGATGAGGGTTGGGATAGTTTTTAAAATGCAGTATTGGAATGTCGGGCAGAAGTTTGCGGCTATAAGAGGGTGGGTGCAGGAGTAAAGAGGAGTGATTGGTGGAATGATGAAGTAAAAGGTGTGATTAAAGAGAAAAAGGTAGCTTATGAGAGACTGTTACAAAGCAGAAGTGTTCTAAGAGGAGCAGAGTATATAGAGAGTAAAAGAAAGGTGAAGAGAGCGATGAGAGAGTGCAAAAGGAAAACAGATGAAAGAGTGGGAGAGGCACTGTCAAGGAATTTTGCTGAAAATAAGAAAAAATTTTGGAGTGCGATAGTTAAGAAAGCCTAGGGAACGAATGGATTTGTCAGTTAACCCTTTCAGGGTCGAGAGGCCCTCTCCTAAACTTGTTCTCAGGGTCAAAAATTTTTCAGAAAAAAAATTATTTTTTCTTATGACAAGATAGAGAATCTTCTCCTGATCATAATGACACCAAATGTATGAAATTTAATGGAAAACTTACGGAATTATGCTCTCGTGAAGTTAGCAGTCTAGAGGATGTTTACACATTGGCGATTTCGCCCACTTTGAGTCCTATTTTCTGCCAATTCCAGTGTACTAGTCAACAAAAATCATAACTATTTTGCTAGAACTCCATTTTTTCTGTCGAATGAATACAAGAAACCACCCATTTACCGATTTCAACTATCCAATAAAGTGGTCAGAAATTAGCAATTTTGCCAATTTCTCACAAATTTCAATAGATGCCAATTTCCAAATAGGGTCCAGAATAAACAAGACAGACATTCCTGGCACTAAAATAACATTTCCTCTGTTCATTAGTCATGTCCCCAGGCCCTCTTGCATTTCTGTTGCTTTCCACTTTGAATTTTTATTCTCACAAAAAATAGAAGATTTACTGTTATGCAGACTGCTGCATTAGTGTAGAAATGGTATAAATAATATCAGCGCACTCGTGAAAGAATATTAGACTCACCAGTTCACGTGTATTGGACACGTGGCATGATTTGTTTACTTTTGAGCTTTGGCAAAAATCGAACATTTCTGCAACTTTGAGCTCAATTTCAAGGTACGTTTCACTGTGAAACCAATCAAAATCATCTCAATTTCTGTAATATGTCTTCCATTCTATAAAATGAGACCAGGAAAACTAGAATACAACCATAAATACCATACGAAAATACAGTGCAAAGTCGCCGTATTAAACCAAAAACACGGTCAAAGTATTTTTTTTCTCATTACACACTGTGTGCTGCAGGATTTTTTTTTATACTGCACACACTGGTCACATAAACCCATTCTTTCATATGTAGGCCTACCAGCTTTCTCTTGCTAGATTTGAAGGCCCTAGAATTTAGGCATACTAGTATGTCAATAACCCTGGTGCGTAAGCCGTACTAGCACGTTGGAAACCCTGAAAGGGTTAAAAACAGAGTAGGGGAGTTAGTAGATGGGGGGCTGGAGGTATTGAATAAATGGTGGGAATATTTTGAGGAACTTTTAAATGTCAATGAAGGGAAGCAGTAATTTCATACACTGGTCAGGGAGGTATAACATCTTTTAGGAGCGAAGAAGAGCAAGATGTGAGAGTGGGGGAGGTGCGTGAGGCATTATGTAGAATGAAAGGGGGTAAAGCAGCTGGAACTGATGGAATCATGACAGAAATGTTAAAAGCAGAGGGTAATATTGCATTATAGTGGTTGGTATTTTTGTTTAATAAATGCATGAAAGAGGGGAAGGTACCTAGGGATTGGCAGAGTGTGTGTATAGTTCCTTTATATAAAGGGAAGGGGGACAAAAAAAAGATTGTAAAAATTATAGGGTAATAAGTTTACTGAGTATAGGTAGTAGGTTGGTAGACAGCAACCACCCAGGGAGGTACTACTGCCCTGCCAAGTGAGTGTAAAACAAAAGCCTGTAATTGTTTTACATGATGGTAGGATTGCTGGTGTCCTTTTTTCTGTCTCTTAAACATGCAAGATTTCAGGTTCATCTTGCTACTTCTACTTACACTTAGGTCACACTACACATACATGTACAAGGATATATGTACATACCCCTCTGGGCTTTCTTCTATTTTCTTTCTAGTTCTTGTTCTTGTTTATTTCTTATCTCAATGGGGAAGTGGAACAGAATTCTTCCTCCAAAAGCCATGTGTGTCGTAAGAGGTGACTAAAATGCCGGGAGCAAGGGGCTAGTAACCCCTTCTCCTGTATATATTACTAAATTTGAAAGGAGAAACTTTCATTTTTCCTTTTGGGCCACCCCGCCTCATTGGGATACGGCTGGTACATTGAAAGAAGAAGAAGTTTACTGAGTATACCAGGTAAAGTGCATGGTAGGGTTATTATTGAAAGAATTAGAGGTAGGACAGAGAGTAGGATTGCAGATGAGCAAGGAGCCTTTAGAGTGGGTAGGGCATGTGCAGACCAAGTGTTTACATTGAAGCATATATGTGAACAGTATTTAGATAAAGGTAGAGAAGTTTTCATTGCATTTATGGATTTAGAAAAGGCATATGAGAGAGTGGAGAGAGGAGCAATGTGGCAGATGTTCCAAGTGTATGGAATAGGTAGTAAGTTACTAAATGCTGTAAAGAGTTTTTATGAAGATAGTGAGGCTCAGGTTAGGGTATGTAGGAGAGGGGGAAATTACTTCCCGGTAAAAGTAGGTCTTAGACAGGGATGTGTAAAGTCACCATGGTTGTTTAATATATTTACAGATGGGGTTGTAAAAGAAGTAAATGCTAGGGTGTTGGGGAGAGGGGTAGGATTAAATTATGGGGAATCAAGTACAAAATGGGAGTTGACACAGTAACTTTTTGCTGATGATACTGTGCGAAGGTTAGTGGACGAGTTCAGTTAGGGTGTGTAAAGGTAGAAAGTTGAAAGTGAACATAGATAAGAGTAAGGCGATGAGGGTATCAAACAATTTAGATAAAGAATAACTGGATATCACATTGGAAAGAGGGAGTATGGAAGAAGTGAATGCTTTCAGATATTTGGGAGTTGACTTGTCAGCAGATGGGTTTATGAAGGATGAGGTTAACCATAGAATTGATGAAGGAAAAAAGGTGAGTGGTGCATTGAGGCATCTGTGAAGACAAAAAACTTTATCTATGGAGGCAAAGAAGGGAATGTATGAAAGTATAGTGGTACCAACAATATTATATGGCTGTGAAGCATGGGTTGTAAATGCAGCAGCAAGGAGGCAGCTGAAGGCAATGGAGATGTTCTGTCTAAGGGCAATGTGTGGTGTAAACATTATGCAGAGAATTCGGAGCGTGGAAATTAGGAGAAGGTGTGGAGTTACTAAAAGTATTAGTCAGAGGGTTGAAGAGGGGTTGTTGAGGTGGTTTGGTCATTTAGAGATAATGGATCAAAGTAGAATGACTTGGAGTGTATAAATCTGTAGGGAAAGGAAGGAAGGGTAGAGGTCGTCCTCAAAACTGTTGGAGGGAGGGGTAAAGGAGGTTTTGTGGGAGAGGGGCCTGGACTTCCAGCAAGCGTGTGAGAGCATGTAAGATAGGAGTGAATGGAGACAAATGTTTTTTGGGACCTGACGAGCTGTTGGAGTATGAGCAGGGTAATATTTACTCTCTCCCTCCAATCTGATATTCAATCTTTCATCACCTAATCTTTTTGTTATCCTCATAACCTTACTCTTTCCTGTATTCACCTTTAATTTTCTTCTTTTGCACACCCTACCAAATTCATCCACCAATCTCTGCAACTTCTCTTCAGAATCTCCCAAGAGCACAGTGTCTCAGCAAAGAGCAGCTGTGACAACTCCACTTTGTGTGTGATTCTTTATCTTTTAACCTGGCAAGAGCGTGGGTTAAAAGATAAAGAATCACACACAAAGTGGGAGTTGTCACAGCTGCTCTTTGCTGATTTACACTGTGCTCTTGGGAGATTCTGAAGAGAAGTTGCAGAGATTGGTGGATGAATTTGTAGGGTGTGCAAAAGAAGAAAATTAAAGGTGAATACAGGAAAGAGTAAGGTTATGAGGATAACAAAAAGATTAGGTGATGAAAGATTGAATATCAGATTGGAGGGAGAGAGTATGGAGGAGGTGAACGTATTCAGATATTTGGGAGTGGACGTGTCAGCGGATGGGTCTATGAAAGATGAGGTGAATCATAGAATTGATGAGGGAAAAAGAGTGAGTGTTGCACTTAGGAGTCTGTGGAGACAAAGAACTTTGTCCTTGGAGGCAAAGAGGGGAATGTATGAGAGTATAGTTTTACCAACGCTCTTATATGGGTGTGAAGCGTGGGTGATGAATGTTGCAGCGAGGAGAAGGCTGGAGGCAGTGGAGATGTCATGTCTGAGGGCAATGTGTGGTGTGAATATAATGCAGAGAATTCGTAGTTTGGAAGTTAGGAGGAGGTGCGGGATTACCAAAACTGTTGTCCAGAGGGCTGAGGAAGGGTTGTTGAGGTGGTTCGGACATGTAGAGAGAATGGAGCGAAACAGAATGACTTCAAGAGTGTATCAGTCTGTAGTGGAAGGAAGGCGGGTAGGGGTCGGCCTAGGAAGGGTTGAGGGAGGGGGTAAAGGAGGTTTTGTGTGCGAGGGGCTTGGACTTCCAGCAGGCATGCGTGAGCGTGTTTGATAGGAGTGAATGGAGACAAATGGTTTTTAATACTTGACGTGCTGTTGGAGTGTGAGCAAAGTAACATTTATGAAGGGATTCAGGGAAACCGGCAGGCCGGACTTGAGTCCTGGAGATGGGAAGTACAGTGCCTGCACTCTGAAGGAGGGGTGTTAATGTTGCAGTTTAAAAACTGTAGTGTAAAGCACCCTTCTGGCAAGACAGTGATGGAGTGAATGATGGTGAAAGTTTTTCTTTTTCGGGCCACCCTGCCTTGGTGGGAATCGGCCGGTGTGATAATAATAATAATAAAAATTTAGGGAAACCGGTTAGCCGGACTTGAGTTCTGGAAATGTGAAGTACAATGCCTGCACTTTAAAGGAGGGGTTTGGGATATTGACAATTTGGAGGGACTTCTAAACTGTCGTATCTGAGCGCTTCTGTAAAGAAAGTGATCATGTATGAGTGAGGTGAAAGTGTTGAATGATGATGAAAGTATTTTCTTTTTGGGAATTTTCTTTCTTTTTGGGTCACCCTGCCTCAGTGGCAGACGGCCAGCTTGTTGAAAAAAAAATAATAATAATACCATTAACCATTGATTAACATGGTGGTTAGATTCTTGAAAATATTGTGAAAATAAAAAATTGTGTAAAATGAACTGAAGACATTACAAAAATAGGGTTACATTATTCAACCCCAAAAAGTCAAACAAATTTTTTTTTTAGGTCTCAAAACTGTTGTGTTCTGAGCTCCTCTGCAAAAACAGTGATTATGTGTGAGTGAGGTGAAAGTGTAGAATGATGATGAAAGTATTTTCTTTTCGGGGATTTTCTTTCTCTTTGGGTCACTCTGCCTCAGTGGGAGATGGCCGACTTGTTGAAAAAAAAGAAAAATGTAAAAAAAAAAAGTAATTGTAACTGGATGCAATGATATATTTAATAAAAAAACTTCAGCTGCAAAGATTACACATAGACTAATATTTCTTGCCTTAAATTCCGGTTGCTGGTGTGTCAATGCAAAGGGATGGTGCAGCCCTACTGGGCTGAGATGGAAGGTTGTGGATCATTAGGTGTGATGGAAGGTTGTGGATCATTAGGTGTGATGGAAGGTTGTGGATCATTAGGTGTGATGGAAGGCTCTGGATCATTATGTGTGATGGAAGGTTGTGGATCATTAGGGGTGATGGAAAGTTGTGGATCATTAGGTGTGATGGAAGGTTGTGGATCATTAGGTGTGATGGAAGGTTGTGGATCATTAGGTGTGATGGAAGGTTGTGGATCATTAGGTGTGATGGAAGGTTCTGATCATTAGCTGCGATGGAAGGTTCTGGATCATTAGGTGTGATATAAGGTTGTGGATCATTAGGGGTGATGAAAAGTTGTGGGTCATTAGCTGTGATGGAAGGTTGTGGATCATTATCTGTGATGGAAGGTTGTGGATCATTAGGGGTGATGGAAGGTTGTGGATCATTCACTGAGAAAGAAGGGTGTGGATCATTGCAAATGGATTGGGCAAATATTTTGATTAGCGAGTTCAGGTTTGAGTAAAACCTGCCTAGTATGGGCCAACAGGCCTACTGCAGTATTCCTCCCTTCTTATTTTCTTAGTTCTTATTAGCTGAGGTAGATGACAGAGGTTCTTGCAATGATGCTAATGGTTGTACTCAAATACTGAGGAATTCTATAATGCATCTCTGGCCTGTTTTACTCTTGCAGTACCTTGTGCAGCTGATAAGGCATCAGCAACAGCTCTAGTCCCATTGCAGAACAGTGCTTCTACATTTGTCAGTGTTTTCTTCTGTGAAAAAGTCTGTAATTTTACCAATAATATGGAACCACTCATATAAGTGTTGCAATGTTAACTGTTTTTGTTCAGGTTTTTCTTCCTCATCTTGGTTTGTTAACTGCCTCCCTTGTACATTATCTGGACACTGAGCTCTACCAACATTTCCTCTGGGCTTTTTTCTTCTTCATCATCATCTAAGAATTCATTCACATCACATCCTCCTTCATATCTTCAAAGCCCTCACCTACAGTCTCCCTGGCAGATGAACAATTTCTTGCACTTGGCTCTCAATTGAGGAAAATTATTATTATTATTATTACAATCATAACTAAGCACTAAACTCACAAGGGTCCAACTGAGGAAAAGCCTTGGAAAGCATTCACCGTACCAGACAATAATTTTCCCCACCCTGCATTTAATGTTGATTTGGGCACTTCACTCCGTGCACCCTGGATGTAGATGATGGCATTTGCTATGTTAAATTTATGCCAAAAGTGTGGCCCTCCAAGTAGTGAATCAGCATCCACTGCTTCGACAAGTTTAGCAAAAACACAACTTCAGTAAAACATAACTATCAGCAGTGATGCTTAAACCAGTCAACAAAAAATTCCTGTCAGCCATACTGACTGGTTTGACCGTTGAATAACTGGTGAGGTGGATTTATCTGTACCTTTCAGAGCACAGGGAGTGTAAGCATGAGCTTACACTTAGAATCGTCTGATGCATTGCCACAAAGTAGCAAGCCGAAGTGATCCTTTGCTGCACTGAATCCCGGAGAACTCTTTGCTTGCTTGCTGATACCAGTTCTAAATGGCAGTGCACAAGATATGAAAACAGTGCACAGGATATGAAAACAATGCACAGGATATGAAAACAATGCACAGGATATGAAAACAATGCACAGGATATGAAAACAATGCACAGGATATGAAAACAATGCACAGGATATGAAAATAGTGCATTTGGTGACTGGTAATGCACAAAAAATCTGATTTCTCCCATCTGTAAGGACTGAAAATAAATTCCCAGCTTAAATCTGGCTAAATAACCATAGTGTGAGCAGGACTGCAGGAAGAATTAAGGCTCACACAGCATTATAACATAGAAGAAGAAGAAGAAGAAGATTATAACAAAGAATTAATCTTAAATTAATATTAACAAAGTTCACTTTCTTAAATTCAAAACTATATTTTCAAAACATTCCATGGGAAAGTGGAGAAGCATCCTTCCTCTGTCAGCCATGAGTGTTGTAAGAGGTGACTAAAATGCCAGGAGCAAGGGGCTGGTAACCCCTTCTCCTGGAAGAAAAACTTTTGTTTCTTCTTTCTCAGGTCACCCTGCCTTGGTGAAAGATGGTAGGTGTTAAAAAAAACTTTATGGTATACATAAATATATTTGAAAAGCTAATAATATTTGCAGCATTTTTCCCTAAGTTAGTCTAGAATTAAAAGCCCTTAAATTTCAAAATATTATATATTAGTCTAGCACATGGTATTGTCAGGCGGTTGAAAATAATATTCACAACACGAATTACAAAATAATTAAAAAAAATTAAAATCTGTGACTGACAAGTTAAGAGAAAGCTTGAATGGTGGTTTCAGAAATTGCATTCAATGATTACCTTTAGGGACATAAATGGTGTAAAAATGATTGGCCTAATTTAGCACATGGAACATTTCTCAGTTTTTGACTGAACTCATTAATTACAGTATGTTACAATCCTGAAGCCTAAGTCAGTTTATTTCATACTTCAGTAACAATGGGAAATGGAAAAGGCAATATATGGGAGGATGTATAAAGGATGCAATTATATTTATCCCTTACAAAACCAATTTTTTTTTTAAATGTTTGCAAGAAGCTCACTGCTCTATACATAAATCAAGATATACCTAGTACATGCATTATTCAAGTGCTATAATTTACAACTAGTCTCACCTTGTATAGCATCCACACAATAATGAGACCGCTCTGATCAGATGAAGTAAGTTTTTGATGAGATTCATTCCAAGTAACAACCTGTATCGTACCAGAATGACCTTCAAGAGTCTGGTTCATGGACAGGTTGGAGGGAGCTGCTAAGCCCTTAACCTTTGCATCTTTACCTAAAAAATATTTTTTAATTAGTATTATATAAAAATTACATTCATGACAATAATTACATTAATGACATAAGTAAACCTTTACAAAAAAAACTGTGATCAAAATTATACCCCTTGTCTAATGTGAACAATTAAAAAATATGCTAAAAACGAAGACAAATTTTTAAAAATCAAGAAATCTATATCTTGAAAAAAAATTAGTGAAATCTACCACCATCACAACAAAGATTCTAAGGGATTTTACATAACCTACACTCAACAGAGACCAACACTGCATGGATATATAAACCACTGAGAGGAAACCAGGAGAAACCTAAAGACTCATGTTAGCGAAAACAAGTATGCCTGTCAAAACATCAATGAAAACAATGCTTGTGTGGCGCATAGAAAGTTTCATATCTTATGGACTAGGAATGGACTTTCCTCAACATCACTGAAGAGAACCACACCAGCAGAAAGTGTTTAGAGGCAGCTTTAACTATACTACAGACTTTATTTCTCAGTGGTGTCATGTATTGCCATTATAGTCTCATGGTTTAGGAATGTAAGGGTCACTGATGCTTACCTCCAGTTCAAAAGCCCTTTCCTCACTCCCTGCTTGCCCACAGCTCGGTTAAAATGTAGGCACCTGGCTAAACAGATAAACATAGGATACAGTGTCGGATGGCAGACTTTATCCTCAATAAAACCTAGTGCAGAACAGTTGTATCACTCCACCGCACCACTCGATCCAAGCCCCCAACCCTCACAACAAAGGAGCTTTCAATAGAGCCTTGCCTCCCCTCACCCACATCATACTCAAGAATAGAAACAAACATCAGGCTAACAAACTTGTACAAATCAATCCTCATATCAACACTGCCAGGTAATGAAGCACTACAGTAGGCCTACTGGCCCTTCCACACTTAATGTACCAGTCACTTCTCCACCTTTCAATGATGCACTATCCTCCTCCCTACTATATACATTTCATTTGGTTCTTAAGATTCACTTGAGAAAATTCACCACATGCAAGTGAAACATTGTGAACATCTACAAATAAGTGTTCTTCTGTTTTCTTGAGGTTTTTTTTACTACTTATCAGATGGTACCATAATTTCACACTCCCTATTCTTACACAGAGTTGTAGCCAGTAATAACTGTGACAGTATTTAGCCTATCTTTGCATTTCCTATTTAGTTATAGTATGGTGAGAGTCCCAAGTCCAAAAAAAAAAAATATGAAAAAAGACATGTGAAGGCAAGAAAATGCACATTCAACTATACGAGAAAGAAATGGAAGAGGAAACCTAAACAATACTGATTAACCAGTAACAAAACTAGAAGAACTGCCTTAAGTATTGTACATTATTCTAATAACAAGCTCATATACTGAGAGTGAACTCTGACAAATGCATACATTTCAACGTAGTATTCAGAGGAGAGGTCCACTTGTTAGGGAAAACATGTAACTTCAAAACTTGTGTGTATCACAGATCATCATTGTGCAAAACACAACGAATAATTAGTAACTACATTATTACCTTACCAGCCCACAATGCATTTACTATCTCATAATAATATATAAAATTCTTCAAATATAAATTATTCAACATCATAAAAGGCCCCTCTCAAAGTACAGTGGACCCCCGCATAACGATGGCATCACATAGCGATTATTTCGCATACCGCTTACTTTAATTGCAAAAATTTTGCCTCACATACCGCTTAAAAACCCGCTTACCGATTTTCCTCCGAGACGCGTCCAATGTGCGGCCTGAGCCACGCTCACATGTTCCGCCGGTGGCATTGTTTACCAGCCAGCCTCCGCGGTAACATCCAAGCATACAATCGGAATATTTCGTATTATTACAGTGTTTTCGGTGCTTTTTCTGGAAAATAAGTGACCATGGGCCCCAAGAAAGCTTCTAGTGCCAACCCTACAGCAATAAGGGTGAGAATTACAATAGAGAAGAAGAAAAAGATCATTGATAAGTATCGCTACTATTGGTGGTACAGCTGCTGCTGCTGCTGCTGCTGCACTGTCAGCTGCTGCTGCTGCTGTAGCATCGTCTGCTGCTGCTGCTGCTGTAGCATCGTCTGCTGCTGCTGTAGCATTGTCTGCTGCTGCTGCTGCTGCTGTAGCATCATCTGCTGCTGCTGCTGCTGTAGCATCGTCTGCTGCTGCTGTAGCATTGTTGCTGCTGTACCACCGTCTGTTGCTGCTGTACCACCGTCAGCTGCTGCTGCTGCTGTAGCACCGTTGTTGGTGTGGCTTATTGAGAATACCAAGAAACAATTAACCCCAGAGGATTTGCCACCCAGGATAACCCAAAAAAGTCAGTGTCATTGAAGACTGTCTAACTTATTTCCATTGGGGTCCTTAATCTTGTCTCCCAGGATGCAACCCACACCAGTCGACTAACACCCAGGTGAACAGGGAAAAATGCCTGGAACTAGTGCTCATATTGGTGAATTTAAAGCCAGCAAAGGTTGGTTTGAGAGATTTAAGAATCGTAGTGGCATACACAGTGTGATAAGGCCTGTTCTGGAAGAAAATGCCAAACAGACCTACAGTACTCAGGAGAAAAGGCACTCCCAGACACAGTGTCTCATCAGTCATTGCTGCATCTTCAATAAAGGTAAGTGTCATTTATTCTTCATTTAGTAGAGTAGTACATGCACAATATATACTGTGCATGTACTACTCTACTATTGTGCATGTATCCTTCTCTTTGTGTGTGGGAAAATGTATATTTCATGTGGTAAAATTTTTTTTTTCATACTTTTGGGTGTCTTGCACGGATTAATTTTATTTCCATTATTTCTTATGGGGAAAATTCATTCACATAACGATTATTTCGCATAACAATTACCCCTCTTGCACGGATTAAAATCGTTAACCGGGGGTCCACTGTATTTACATACAAAGAGCACAAGTTCACAAAATAGCTAGTCATTCTTTTAGTGACACTAAACATATGCTTCATGCCTTAACCCTTTCGGGGTTTCGGCCGTACTAGTACGGCTTATGCGCCAGTGTTTTTGACATACTAGTACGCATAAATTCTAGCGCCTTCAAATATTGCGGGAAAAGGCTGGTAGGCCTAGGTGTGAGAGAATGGGTGTGTGTGGTCGGTGTGCGTGGTAGAAAAAAAATCTGGGACCCAGTGGCGCATTGTGGGAACGCCATTTTAGTAGACTTTGTTCACCATGCCTCGCAGTAAGAAGCTCCTCACTCCTCGGCGAATTGGGACACTTTTGTTCCCCAGTGACAGATCTAATACAGATGGAAGTGCCAGTGAAGATGAGTTTCAAGGTTTTGGTGAGGTTGTGACTGAAACTAATGACCATAATATCAGTAATAGTGAGGAAAACCCAGATGACCCTCAGCCTTCCACCTCTGCTGCTGGGCCGTCTTGTTCACGTTCAGTTGTACCAGAATCAAAGAGGAAACTCCTATTTTCCCAAATCCCAGACTCAGATGTGAGCATTGGTGATGATAGTGATAGTGAGTATGAACTACAAGCTCTTGAAACCAGCTCCTGTAGTGATAGTGAAGTGGAATATTCTCCAGTGAAGCGTCAGTATATACGACGATATATGCGCTCTGGTAGTGTGCCATATGCTATTCCAAGGGGAAGGAGTACATCTCAGAGTGCATCCCGTGGCTGTACAACAGGAACAGACAGTGAAAATGAAGATGATAGTGTTGCAATTGGGATGGAAAATGTGTATGGTGGTGATAGTGGTGGTGCCGGCTGTGAGACACCAGCAGTGGGCAATGCTGCCACCCACGCCACTGCCTCAGCTGGTCTACAACAAAGGCCACCATCCCCCACTCACCCACCACACCAGCCTCCACAACCACAACCTCCACAACCACAACCACCTGTCAATGTCCAGTACCCACCAGCAGACCACACCTGGGATTGGCAGGAAGCTGTCAATTTTGTTCCAAATCCCCACCAGTTTAACGAAAGCCAAAGTGAAATACGGCCATGTTGTACACTGGGGAACAATGCCACTGAACTGGAATGTTTTGAGTTAATCTTTGATGAACCCCTGATGGAAATTATTGTCAGGGAAAGCAACAGATACTACGAGTACACCATGGCAAACTTGCATTTGTGGTCACAGTGGTGCCTGTGCTAACCTTCCTATGGTGTAGAAATATACCTAGTTGGATGAATCTTATTGTGGCTAGCTGGTCTAGTGGCTAACGCGACGGGCTGGAGTTTTGAGACTCTATGACCGCGGGTTCAATCCCGGCCGGGGGTATGGTTTGATGGCAAACACATTACTTTCACCAAAATCACGTCTACACCAGTGGAAGGAGACAACTGTGGCTGAAATGTATCTTTTCTTTGCCACAACAATGCTTATGCCACATGTGTATAAGCACAGAGTGAAATCATACTGGTCAACAGACCGCCTGATTGCAACCCTAGGTTTCAGTGATATAATGGGAGTGAATCGATTTGTATTACTGTTACGTATACTTCACTTCTCAGACAAAACCAGGCCTGACAGAAACGACAGGTTATATAAGATTAGGAATGTGTTTGTGTATGTGAAAGAGAAATTCAATATGTATTTTTATCCCTTCAGGAAGCTTGTAATTGATGAGTCTTTGATCCTGTTCAAAGGAAGACTCTCTTTCAAGCAGTACATACCAAGCAAGAGGAAACACTTTGGTATAAAGTTGTTTGTGCTTTGTGATTGTTACAGTGGTCTGGTATTGGATATTACTGTGTACACTGAAAGTTATACATTGCAAAGTACCAGAAAGTTATTGGGTATCTCTGGTGATGTGGTTAGAACAATGATAGAACCATACCTTGGTAAGGGGCATATATTATATACCAATAACTGGTACACAAGCCCCTCACTCAGTGATTTTTTGCGAGCGAACATGACAGATGTGTGTGGCACAGTGCGTGCAAATCGTAAGCATATGCCCAGGTTTGACGCTGGCACTCGTAGAGGTGAAGTGCAGGCGTTTGCTGCCAATGACATCATGGCATTTCGGTGGCATGACAAACGAGATGTCACACTGTTGTCATCAATTTGCCCTAATGAAATGGCAGACACTGGTAGGCAGCATAGAGAAAGCAATGAACCCATTCTAAAACCTACAGCTGTGATTGATTACACCCTCAATATGCGCTCAGTGGACAAATGTGACATGCAGGTTGGGTTTGCTGATTGTGTTCGCAAGAGTTATAAGTGGTACATAAAACTCTTTTTCCATCTTCTGGACATTTCCATGCTCAATGCTTATAATATGTATAAGATGAGGACCAGAAAAAAACCATCGAATGGCGAATTCTGTTTGTCTGTCATTAGACAAATAGTATTCAAGTACCAAGGAACAACACCTGCAATAGACCGCCCACTAAATTATCAACAACTACCTTCTTGTCTGAAGTATGGTGATCACTTCCTAGTAAAACTGCCTGCTACTGATTTCAAGAAAAAGGCTCAGAAGAAGTGTTACGTCTGTGCACATACAAAAAAACACCCACAACAACGCAGAGACACTCTTCCACAGGCTGCAGAACTTCTAGAAACATTCCCTGTGACTGTATACATGTATATAAAATATAGAAAAATAGTAATAAACAACATTTTATATCGTTTGTGTGTGAAAACAACAATTATAAACAATATAAGGACAACAGCGTTTGTGGAGTTATTGTGTAATAAATAAAGAGAAAAAAATTATAAAATAGTGCTAATATTGGTCTCACAGGCCATAAAACCTGGAAAAAAAATTAAAAAATAATAGAAAATAGTACCTAAACAACAAAAACAAATAATACCGGGTGACGGCAGTTGGCGATGATACCATACATGGGGCATTTTCTGTCAACTTCACGCCTCCATATCTTGGTAAGTATTGATGGTAAAAAATTTTTGTTTAGCCTATAATGTTTAGAAAAAAAACTATCTTTTCATAAGAAAAAATCATTTTTTTTTTTTTTGAAATTTGGGCGACCCAAAGAACAAGTCTCTGAGAGGGCCTGCCAACCCTCAAAGCGTTAAATAAGGCAAATTTATTGTCTATTTCATATGAAAAATTAAGATGAATTTATTAAAGTGTTCATTAAAAATATTGAGAGAGCACATACCAGCTTCCAGCTTAAGAACTTTTAATAAACCTTCATCTCCACCACACGCGATGTATCCCTGATCTTTGTTCCATCCAACACATCGTAAGTGAGTGTTGTTAGGAATGGCAATCTGTAAAGTACAGAAAAGTAAAGTAGAATATATTTTCCATACATTATATGTTGTTCAATAAATACAAAGAGGCCCATAGTTATATACAGTGGACCCTCGGCTAACACCTTTAACCCTTTGAGGGTTTTCGTCATACTAGTACGTCTTACGCGTAGGGGTTTTTGACGTACTAGTACTCATAAATTCTAGCGGCCTCAAATCTAGTGGGAGAAAGCTGGTAGGCCTTCATATGAAAGAATGGGTCTATGTGGTCAGTGTGCACAGTCTAAAAAAAATCCTGCAGCACACAGTGCATAATGAGAAAAAAAAAAACTTTTACCATTTTTTTTTAATAAATCAGCGACTTTGCAGTGTATTTTCGTATGGTATTTATTGATGTATTCTAGTTTTCTTGGTTTCATTTTATAGAATGGAATACATATTACAGAAATTGAGATGATTTTGACTGGTTTTACAAAGAAAGGTGCCTTGAAATTGAGCTCAAAGTAGCAGAAATGTTCGATTCTTGCCAAAGTTCAAAAGTAAACAAATCGTGCCAAGCGTGCAATACACGTCAACTGGTGAGTCTAATATTCTTTCACAAGTGCACCAATAATATTTATACCATTTTTTACACTAATGCAGTAGTCTGCATAACAGTAAATCTTATATTTTTTGTGAAAATAAAAATTCAAAGTGGAAAGCAAAAGAATATAAGAGGGGCCTTGAGACATGACTTATGACTAGAGGAAATGTCATTTTAGTGCCAGGAATGTCTTTCTTGTTTATTCTGGACCCTATTCGGAAATTGGCATCTTTTGAAATTTGTGTGAAATTGGCAAAATTACTAAATTCTGACCACTGTACTGGATAGTAGAATTTCATAAATGAGTGGTTTCTTGCACCCATTCGATAGAAAAAATGGAGTTCTATCGAAATATTCATGTTTTTTGTCGACTAGTACAGTGAAATTGGCCGAAAATGGGGCTCAAAGTGGGCAAAATCGCCGATGCGTAAACATCGCCGAGACCGCTAACTTTGCGAGAGCATAATTCCGTAAGTTTTCTATCAAATTTCAAACTTTTGGTGTCTTTATGATCGGGAAAAGATTCTCTATCTTTTCATAAGAGAAAATAATTTTTTTTTTTTTTTAAATTTGGCCGACCCTGAGAACGAGTTTTGGAGAGGGCCTGTCGACCCTCAAAGGGTTAATACGTTCCAGAGAGCTAGCCTTCAGCTGATTTAGCCTTTAGCCGAATTAATTTTCCCCTTAAGAAATAATGGAAATCCAATTAATCTGTTTCGAATACCCAAAAGTATTAAACAAAATAATTTTTTTTACATGAAATATACATTTCCATACACAGAAAACAATGATACATGCAAAATAAACAATACTACTTAAATGACACTTACCTTTATTGTGGACTTACTGATGAGTGATGAGACAGGAGGGGAGATGATGAAAGTGTTTTGTTGTTTGGAAGGGAAATCCCCTTCCATAAACACTTCAGGTACCAAGTCCTTTTCTGGGGTTACCTCCCTTCTTTGCTTTTTAATGCCACTATGACCAGCTTGCGAGTCAAGGTCACTGGGCCACCCTCTACCAACATCACAACCAATACCACCTTCTAACACCATCACTACCACCCTCTACCACCACCACCACCACTCGTATTTTTCTACAAACTTTTTCTTGCATTCTATCATGTTTCTCACATCCTCTATTAAAGGGCTGGCACTAGAGGCTTTCTTGTGGCCCATGGTGGCTTACTTAGCAGTTACAAGCACTAAAAACAATGGAATAATACAAAATATATCGCATATATGCGCAGAATCATCCTCACGGGCTTTGTAAACAATGGCACATTGGTCGTACACGGAGTCTTGGAGTGGCCGAGCCCGCTCAGGCCGCGCGGACATGTTTGGGACGAAAGCCCTTAGCCAAGTTTTTTGGTGCTGGCCGAGCCAATATTTTGATGCCAAAGAGAGCTGTTAGCCGATTTTGGCGTTAGCCGATGCAGCCATTAGTCAAGGGTCCACTGTAATGCATTTTAGGCAGACTTAAGATTCACACACATTAAACTGGTTATACAATAGGCCTGTTGGTAATTCCCCTTATAAGTAATGTTAGATGTAAGTAAATCATGTATAAATCATGACTTATTCTATGATATCCAAGATATAAAAAAATTAACTAATAAAATTACCTAATAAAACTAATAAAATTAACTAATTTTAAGCACAGCCTCAGACTTACGATGGGCTCCCTGATAAGTATTCATACCTAAATAATGTACTATATCAGAGGTGATTTCCTCTATTCTGTTTATTTCAATATACAGTACACTACTGTATAAACATTTAAAAATACAGTAGACTGTCATTTAGCACGAGTTTACAGTGGAACTTGCGAGCGCATCCACGTGCGAGTTTTTCCAAGTATACGAGCAGTCGATGGGTCAATTTTTTGCTTCCACATACGAGCAAAATTTCCATAAGCGAGCAGACCTCAAGGTGGTAATAAAGTGGTTCGCGATATAATATTATAGGACTTATTATAGTCAGGCCTTTTTATATTTTGTATAGGTGCCTTGATGCTGGTGAGGGGCTCTTGATCTAGGGAATTGTATCTCATTTGTTTGTTGGACTGTCTTATTGGAACTTGGGCAATGTATGATGGAAAGATGCTTCTTAACGTAATAATAATAATAATAATAATAATAATAAATAATAATAATAATAATATCATATGTATTATAATAATACATATAATAATACATGTAATAGTATAATATAATAAATAATATAATATGTATAATAATAATACATATAGTATAATAATAATGTACTACACAATAATAATTATAATAATAGACGACTTCAAAAGGCCGTCACTAGATGGCAGTGTTTACCACAACAAAGAGGGAGCGGTTGTGGCCGCCTCCACCTGTTACGTAATGACATATTTTATGCACTCTGGAGTATGTATCAGGTTTCTATGTTATTTATATTTTTTATTATTTCATATTAGATGAAGTAGTAGAGGAGTAGTAGGTTGGTAGACGGCAACCACCCAGGGAGGTACTACCGTCCTCCCAAGTAAGTGTAAAACGAAAGCCTGTAAATGTTTTACATGATGGTAGGATTGCTGGTGTCTTTTGTCTGTCTTATAAATATGCAAGATTACAGGTACGTCTTGCTACATCTACTTACACTTAGGTCACACTACACATACATGTACATGTTTATTTATACACACTCATCCGAGTTTTTTTTTATTTTATCTTAATAGTTCTTGGTCTTATTACTTTTCCTTTTATATCCATGGGGAAGTGGAATAAGAATCTTTCCTCCGTAAGCCATGCATGTTGTAAAAGTCAACCAAAATGCCGGGAACAATGGGATAGTAACCACTTTTCCTGTAATAATTACTAAAAAGAATGAGGAGGAGAAAATTGTCAAAGTGGGAAGTCTGAATGTGCGTGGATGTCATGCAAATGATAAGAGAGAAATGATTGTGGATGTTATGAATGAGAAGAAGCTGGATGTCTTGGCTTTAAGTGAAACAAAGCTGAAGGGGGTGGGAGAGTTTCAGTGGAGAGGAATAAATGGGATTAGGTCAGGGGTTTCAAATAGAGTTAGAGCTAAACAAGGAGTAGCAATAATGTTGAAGGATAAGTTATGGCAGGAAAAGAAGGACTATAAATGTATTAATTCAAGGATTATGTGGAGTAAAATGAAGGTTGGATGTGAAAAGTGCGTTATAGTAAGTGTATATGCACCGGGAGAAGAGAGAAGTGTAGAGGAAGAGGAGATTTTGGGAAATGTTGGTGAATGCGGGGGAGTTTTGAACCAAGGTGAGAGTAATGGTGGTTGGGTTTTAAATGCTAAAGTGGGCAAAAATTTTTGTGGAGGGGTAGTGGGTAAATTTGGGGGTGCCGGGGGTAAATAAAAAGGGGGACCTTTAATTGAGCGGGGTAAAAGAGTTTGGTAATAAGATTACTATTTTATGAAAAAGAGGATAAATAAATATAAAAGGTATATATAGCACGTAATGAAAATATTTTGTTAGTTTATGTATTGGGGGAAAAAAGGTTATGGTAGGCCCAGATGACACATTTAAGGGGGCAACTGATATACAGATCATTATTTTGTTTTACTACGTTAGAGTAAGAGGTAGGGTGGGAAAAGAGGAAAATGGCAAAAAAAAAATAAGAGGAGGTGAAAGGTATAAACTAAGGGGGAGGGAAATTCGGGTGAATATAAGCAACTATTGCAGAAAGGTGGGGTGGTGCAATATGATATGGAGGGTAAGAGGGTTGGAATAGTTTTAAAAATGCAGTATTAGAATCTGGGGCAGAAGTTTTGGTTTTTAAGGGGGGTGTGGCAAGGAGAAAGAAGGGGTGATTGGGGGAATGAAAGAAGTAAAGGGGGGTTTATAAAAAGAAAAAATTGCTTATGAGAGTTTTTTCAAAGCAAAGTGTTAAAGAAGAGAGAGTATATGGAGATAAAAAAAAAGGTGAAGAGAGTGGGGAAAGGCAAAGGAGAGCGATGATAATGGGGAGGCCTGTTAAAATTTTAATGAAAATAAGAAAAAAATTTTGGGGTGATTAAACAAGTTTAAAAAAGCCTAGGGAACAAATGGGTTTTTTCAGTTAAAAACAGAGTAGAGGAGTTAGTAAATGGAGATGGAGGTTTTGGGTAATGGCGAGAATATTTTGAAAACTTTTAAATGTTCACGAAGAAAGGGAGGCGGTAATTTTATGCACTGGGCCCGAGAGGGATAAAAATCTTTTTAGGGTGAAGAAGAACAGGATGTGAGTGTGGGGGGGGTGCTGAGGTATTACGTAGAATGAAAGGGGTAAAGCAGCTGGGGGCTATGGGGTCATGACAGAAAGTTAAAACAGGGGGGGGTTTAAATGTTGGAGTGGTTGGGTTTTTTTTTTAATAAATGTATGAAAGAGGGGAAGGACCTAGCATTGGGGAAGAGTATGTAAGTCCCCCCTTTTAAAAAAAGG